GGATCATGACCTGAGCCGAAGGCAGTCGCTTAACCAACTGAGCCACCCAGGCGCCCCACACATAATATTCTTTAGGAACTGGGTGAAATGGTCCCATTCCCGAACACTCCTAGAAACAAAGCACCTCTTTTGAAGGTTCCAAACGTCAGAAAGTCTTCACTTATTCATTCGATATTTACCATAGCACCAGGAACTATGCTAGACAGTGGGAATACAAGACTAAATACAACAGACACAGTCCAGCAGAGCCATGGTGCTGCCCAACTCCAGGGCGTGAAGCTTGGTTCTTACCTTAGCCTGGGTGCCTGGGACTCCCAGAGCTGGGAAGTGCCCAGCCTATGTGGGCAAAGATGGCGGCCCTCACTTCCTGGCCTCTCATACTCTGTAGTCTGGTAATGGAGCTTGAGTCTAGTTTACCAACCCAACACCTACCAGGTGGATAGAGCAACACCACGTTGTCTCCTGCATTTAGATGACCCTTATCACCAAGAACGGACGCAATCCTCTCTGCTCGCTTATGAAGCTGAAGGCAATTGGCTGTGCACACAGTAGTTCCCTTGAAATAGAAGAAAGTATAAGTGGGTCAAAACTCAGGAAATTAAACAGTGACAAGTACAACGTTATGTCAGAAAGGCTTGTGCCTTGGTAGATTCTCTTTATCAAGTTATCAATTCCAGTGAAAATTCCCGTAGGACCGAAAGACGTGTGGTATTTCTTTTTCAATGCCTGATGGTACTTAGGGAATATCAACATTAACTTAAATCAAACATACGTATCTATAGTCTTTCTTGTTTAAGACAGCTTCAAAAACACCTAGGAATTTTTTATTTAAATGAGGAAGTAAGAATGGAAGGAAAATAAAGGAAATAAAAGTAGGATGAGGGCAGGAGTCACTGCTGGCCGTGTGGCCACGTGCATCATGTGCATTTGCTGTGTGTCACACAAATTTGGCTCCGAGTATTCTAACAGCAAAGATGTAAACAAAACAGGAACAATTGGAATCAGAGTCCACTCGCTGATAATAAAGATTAGCAGGTCAGAAGATGGCCAGCTACTCCTTTTTTTTTTTTTTTAAAGATTTTATTTGTTTATTTGACAGAGAGAGACACAGCGAGAGAGGGAACACCAGCAGGGGGAGTGGGAGAGGGAGAAGCAGGCTTCCCGCGGAG